TCTCTCTCTCTCTCTCTCTCTCTCTCTCTCTCTCTCTCTCTCTCTCTCTGTGTGTGTGTGCACTCTTTGACTCGCGCTCACTGTCCTGTCGGGATAAAGAAATGGATCAGGGTGGACTGAAGCGCAACGGTAATCGAGACGACAGCCTGACATTTGGAGAGACGGGAGACGGAGAATGCAGAGATACAGGTGACACAGCTGGTTCACTGCTCCAGTCTGCAACGCACCCACCTGGCCAGGGGTCTCTGCCCCAGCCCACAGTGGCCCGAAATGTAGGGTGTGGAACCAAAGACCAAGGGGAGCTAGGAGGCCTCTTTGACTCCCCTCAGCATCGTGTCCTGTTTGAGGGGTCAGACATGAAGGAGGGTAAAATCATTAGAGTGCCGAAACAACACCAGGATATTGGCGGATTCAACATGGAGGGCGACTTGCCGTTGCTGAAACACGGTATTTCCGATCTGGACCGGAGGGCCACCTCTGTCATAAGCGCCTCAGTCTCCTCCATCCTGGGCAACCTCCCTCTGCCAGACCTTTTCCCCCAGCACATCAAGCAGGAGGCTAATTTGTCTCAGGATAAAGACCCGGAAACTTATAGCGGACGCACAGGCGTGGGTCCCTGTGATTTGGATGGCAACAGCAGTCGCCAAATCGAGGATATCGAAATTTGGCAAGACCTGGACCTTCCTAATTCCATGCCAGAGATCAGCGATTTTGATTTTGATTCGGAAGTGGCACACTTGGATAACATCCTACATGACAGCAGGGGTGGAGGTGGCGGGGGTGCTGTCAGCGGCTTGCTAAAGGAAACAAAGCCCGTCATGGGTAATGGAGTGAACTTTACCAGTGTGAATGGCTCGGATCAGCAGCACCAGCCCATACACCAGCAGCACCACCTTCTCCAGCAGCAGCAGCTTCACCATCAACAGCAGCCCGCATCAATTCTCTCCAGCGTTATGATCAAGGAAGAGAAGGATCCGGACGACTCTTTCATCCACATCCGTACTCCTGGTGTTGTCAAACAGGAGAAGCAGGAGAGCGCTGGTTTCTGCCAGGCGCAGTGTCTCCAGAGCAGCAGGAGCTCTCTCCATGTAGGTGGTGGCACCATGCCTTCATCTATGAGCGTAGGAGCAGGATCTAGCTACCACTACAGAGCCAACCCGTCCTCCACAGTGGGCCTACAAGACCAGGATCTTTTTGGCTTGTACCCAAACCTGCCTCTGGTGGGGGAGAGCTGGGCCAGGGGGAACCGTTTTGGAGAGTCATCCGGGCTACAGAGGGGCGACGATGGGCTCCCCTCTGCTGCAGCCCTGTCAGCGTTTTCTGTCGGCTTCTCCAGGTAGGTCTCATGGAATTACTTTGCTTTCTTTCACGCTATGCTTGACTTTGTACTTGTGTGGTCGGAGGGTATTTGCTGTGCTTTTGTAAATGTTAAAATATGTGCAAATTTAAGTGTACATTTTAGTTGACGGTTATTCTACGGCAGTCTTAGCTGTGATACTTTTCTCAGAATAGAAACTGTGATCTAGGACTCGGTGACCCTTTTTTTTTTTTTTTTTTTGACATTGTTGACAACTTTTCTAATCTCAAACGATGTGTCAGGAAAAATAAACATTGTCCTTAAGCTGTTAGCAGTCTGACCCCAGAGGCCAAACACACTGGATTGGACATTTAATGACATTCTTTGGTTTGACTTGTTGGTTGATCACTGCAACCTTTGGAGTAAATTTCAGCAGGAAATCAATTCGATGAACAGGCATTCAATTTACAAATATGGGTTATTCCCAATTTTTGCTTTCTTTCTTGAAAACTACTCGTGAAATACAACAAATCAATATAAAGTGTTTGTAATTGCATTCTTTTCATCAGTCCTCAAGTCTTACTGAACCAGTGATTTATATGGGGTTTTACCATTGTGGCTATTTATGTTTACAATCCACTGCAGTCAGAATTCCCTGGGCACAACAGGGCTGTGCTTTGGTCTCCCGCAGCCACAGAAAACATCTGTCTCTGTTGACGCTCCTGAAATCAAATAAAGCTCAGAGTGATGTATCGGGGCACTTCAGTTCCATGTGGGACACCTTGCATTTGGTAAATGAAAGCAGTCGGTGCGTTTCACAGCGGTCATGCCCAAGTCTGTGTGATTCAAGCACAAAAGAAACATCGCCTCAATAAGACCCCCAAAAAGAGTACTTCCATGGCATTTTTTTCTTTTGTGAGGGAAGTGCTAGCACCCCTGGGTTGGAAAGCATCTGGCGCTTATCGCCTCCAATAGGCAGACACAGCAGGACACACATTTCCCCAATTTATCCACATCACATTTTAGGAATGCCATGACAAACGTAATATAGGAATAAATTCTCCTGTATTTACACAAATATTGTCAGAGAAGGCAGATGAGGTGATAAATTAGTTGCTAGGTTGGAAAGAGACAGCGGTGGAAAGAAATACATGTAAATAATGAAGGGAATATAACTAGTTGAGTTGGTGATAGTCACCCTGATGACAGTGTATACATATTTCTAATCTTGTGTCTTTGGTTATTGAAGTAACCTAGAGCACTTTCTCTTTTGTGGTTGCTCGCAATCAGATGTTGAAAATCAATATTATTTCGGGCACAGTTGTGAAGTTGTTCTCATACACGGTATCTAGTCATAATTTGTCCAAGCTCCGCCCTCTGGTATTTTTCCAAAAATTGTGTTGTAACACGGTGCTCGCTATAAAGATATCACAGTTATTTAACACTGTGTTATTCCTACAGGAAATGATTCATTGAGAAAACATGATGTGTGCATTTCTGAGGCTGCAGGAGTATGGGTCGTGTTTTAATGTGTGAGAAAGTCATGGACATGCGGCACAGTGAGAATGACAAGTGTCATGGTGGGCACGCCTCGCTTCAGCTCTGATCTGATAACTGAAATGGCTGTGTGAGTAGAACTCTGAACGAGAGAGATGTATTTTCTGTGTTATGAGCATCTTTGTGACCATGGCTTGAATGGGCAGATCACAAGATGTGTTTTGATTAATGAAGACAAAGCTTTGTAGAAACGCAAAGATGGCATCCTAATGAGCTGCTGTTTTAAATCACTTTATGGAGTGTTCTTTTCTGGGTGTTTTTTTATAACTTCATAATTCAATCAAACAATAAAGTGTTGTTTTTAAAAACAAATTTCGGTTGCACCAGGAATCTGTGCCACAGTGCTGCCTTTTCAGGGGAACTGCTTGCTGGTATGTTCATGCTTGTTGCGCTAGCATGGTGTGTGTTTCCATGCTGTGTGCCTGTGATGCAGGGCACCAAGGTCTAAAAAAAAAACTACATTACAGTATAAATAAATGGCAAAAACAAACGACTTACCAATGGACCAACAGACAAGCATAGTTTGGCAATAATTAATTATTCTCTTTTCTCAAATTATCATGTTCTCTGAAATTATCATGCTGCACAAATTATCACAATGATCCAACATATCCCACAAAATAACACGTTGAGTAATTTAGATTGTATTTCATTTGTAAGTGAAATAAGACTAGTGAATTTGATTGATCTTCTTACTTTGAATAATTAACTGAAAGACTAATTGTTTCAGCTCTGCATGAAAGCGAGTGTGTTGGTATATTAAATGCAGACTCTGAGGTTTACTGTAGACGCAGCACTGTTGCGTGACGGTGCCTCGAAGCACATTGTGTGCTATTGTTCTGCATATGTGACGCACAGGAGCTTTTGACAACATAACGCAACTCAACACAACATAACTGTTGCACTATTTGATGTATACTGTATCTCACAGTAGGAATGAAAACAGGACAATGAACAACTCCCTGGTATCCACATGTGTTAGCATAGCAGCTGACTCCATGTACTGTATATCATGGAGCCCACCTTGCTGCTCTATGGGAATTTTCAGCCCAGTTGGAACATAATTTGGCTCATTCTTGTTGCTTGGCTCAAGCCTCTCGTTATGTAACCGATAATCAGATGATAAACAAATGTTTTTGCTTCATGCCCAGGGTGAAATACGGCCTTGAAACATTGTTTGAGACCAATTGTTTAAGATGCATTTAAGGAGCATGATACTTCTTCCATTAAGTATATTATATATGTTTTACTTGTGCTTAATTTACTTTCTTTACATGCAGCAGCTAACGTTTACCTGTACAGTACATAGATTTCTGTACTTCACGCCTAATCATCTTTTTCATCTTAAAATATGTGAGTCATACTGACGCATACTAAGGGTTAAAAAGTGAATTCAAACTCCTCCATGTTGCTGTGCTGCATGCGTCAGTGTGTGTGTGTCAGTGTGTGTGTGTGTGTGTGTGTGTGTGTGTGTGTGTGCGCACACAGGGATGCTGGAAGGCCACGTGTACATATCTGCTCTGGTGTGCTGTTCCCTCTCTCTGCTTAAACGGTCACTCGGTTGTGTTTTTATTCTCACCTACTCACCCCTGATGGCCCCTCAGAGCTCTTCCTATTTCACACAGGCATAAAAAACCTGTAATCAAGAAGATGTCATGCAAACACACACACACACACAAACACACGCACTCACTCACACACACACACTTGTATGTTAGAAGTGTGCTGCAGATTCTGGATGTCAAAGGAGGCACTCACCCACACATGTAAGCATCTTTTTAAAACTGTTTGTGCTTTCGTTTGAAGTTTTGAGTGTTAAAATTAGTATTGAGTGCCAAATGAATAATTTTTGATAATCCATCATTAAAAAAGTGTTGTGTTCTGCTTTGTTGATGGTAAAGTTGTGGTGGTTCAGTGAACGTTGTGCTCCTCATCAAATAACTTTTTGGCATTATGTAAACTTGGCAACTTGGTTATTTAAATTGTATGCACATGTTATTTGTTCTAAAGTGTAAACATGTATTCTACATTTTATTTAGTTACGTCGAAATATTTTAAAGTGGCGTTTCATTCCAAAGTGAAAAGCTTACCATTTGTGAAAAATAGCAGAACAACCTAAGACTTTCCCCTCTCTGGGTTATGGAAGGGTCTAAAGTTTTTGATTGTAATTGTTCATCATTTTAGACAGAACTATAGTTAAATTATTAATTTATTACTTTACCCATATCACAGCCTTCAATTGAACATTTAATTTCCCAGAAATGTTTTCCCTGTAAAATCATATTCTATAACTTAAAAGACCAGCTTCAGAAATAGTTAAAATTTTGAAGTAATTATTTTACAAAAAGGATTTTGCTAATGATGATGATAATAATAATAATAATAATAATAATAGCGTGAAACCTGTGTTCCTAACTCAAGACTAACTACTATTGTTGTGTTATTGATTTATTTTCAGACAGAAGTATGTACCATAGATCGGCTACCGTGAAAAACTCTGTGAATTAATAGAAAATTAAAGCTGCGAGCAGCGATGAACGGGCCCTCGCAATCTGCAGCGCGTCGGGGGTGCCGGCGGGACTCCGGCCTGCGCGGCAGAGAACGTCCGCGACCGTCGGGTTCGCGAGCGAGACGTTTTTAATCCCGCGTGGACCGCCTGATGCTGGAAATGATGCTTTGCAAATAGTCCGATGCTTCCTGTATCCGCTGCCTGGCGCTACAGAACGCGTGCAAACATGCATTATGTTGCTCTGTGTCAAGTGTAAACCACATGGTGTAAAAGTCATGTAAATCGGATGGTGTTTGTCACAAAATGCAGATTTCCTTTCGCCAGCAGGTGGCTCTGTGAGTACTAGTGAAAATAAGCTTGTAGGCATCCTCAGGCCATGAGTGTTATCAAGCATGTGAAGTTTGAGACTGTTTGGAGCAAGTCCAGCTGAGTTACATCAGCTTTTTTCATGGGGAATCACGTAAAGTAGCCGCCCGCTACGGCTAAACGATTCCGTCAAACGTAAAGCGTTTGATAACTTTTAATCACAACGGTCTTGACATGGTACTGACAAAATTTAAAGTGGATCTGATGAAGTCCCTAGGAGGAGTTTGTTAAAGTATAGCGACTAGAAATAGGCCAAAATCTATGGAAAAATGACACAAAAATCAAAATGGCCGACTTCCGGTAGGGTTTAGAGCATGGTCCCAAGAGACTTATATTTAAGTCTCCATAGGATACATGTGCCTACTACGATTCATACATGTAGTTCAAACGTAGCACTGGGACAGCTGTTTTGAAATATTGTAGGGGGCGCTATAGAGGCAATTCAAAACGGCCAAGCCAAAAAATCATTTAAAATATTTCTTCCAATGGCCTGTGACACATGTACAATGTTCCATTAGTTTTTGAGCATCCCAAGTCACTAAACCATCAGCTTCCTTTTTCATGGCGAACGATGCGTCGCCACGGCAACAGCGTCAATCGAAAATGC